AAACTTTTACGGAAATAAAAGCATCTTTCGATACTCAATACTAATCTCCTTGCCGATCATATGTTATAAGAGCAATGCAGTGAGGTGAGGCTAATGAAATATTTCCAGAACAGATGTGCAATAATGGATAAGGAATACACTTATCGCAACATTATATCTATACATTTTCAAATTTTGAAAGATGTCAAAAATTACATTGATTTCCGTTCTCGCACTAACTGAATTGAGATTTGGATACTGAGATGGTTTTGCTGATTGGATACTATATAAAGATGACGATTGTCGGATTGAATTCAAATATTCATTAATTATATCACATAATTCAGCATCGATTCCGTGTTTTTTCAATAACTCACATGATCCATCCACATCAAACTGAAACAGTTTATTCTGTAGCAGTAGATAATTATTTCACATAATATATTTTCGGAGGAAAGAAAATAAACCGAAAAAAATAGAAATTTCAACTTGAGTTTTTTTGGTATAATGGACACCTTGGAAATATTAACAAAAAAATTTATTCAACTAGAATTTCGCATGTTCTTAACGGAGAGGAATGTAAGAATCCTGAAATGTTCCACTGGAAAGCTGATAATCCGAGAACCATCGACAAATAAAAAATGATAAAACTATCGATGCGGAGGGGATGAAATTATCACTGAAATACAATTAACTCATGGAATGAATAGCGGTTTATCGATAAGGCGAAAGCATTTTACTTTCGAATCAGAAATGCGACGATGAAGCACGAGCAAGTTACTTATTGACTGTCGTAACAACACAACTGAGCAATTCAAACGGGCTGCAAATTAAAGATGTCAGTTTTGTCTTTAAACACTGCAAGTTCAACGATAACCACTCAGCAAGGTAGCTTATCCAGATTCATAGGAAGAGATGATCATTCGGTGGATACAGATGGGTGATTTTTAGGAAGCACTGAGGCGGTAATTATCAATGTATTCAACATATTGCATTCACCCCATTGCGATAAACAAATAAAAATACTTAAAACAAGCAACCCATTTAAACCAATCAAAAACGAGTGGCCACACTAATCGCAAGTCAAAAAATGCAAAAGTTTTCGCTGCCTTAGACGTAGAATTTGCGAGGATGCACTTTAATGGAAGCTGATAAAGTTTCAATTTGCAACCGAATTCCACTCGCCAACTACAGCAGAGAACATAAGCTGCTCACGGTAGAATGAGTTTACAAGGAATATAGCCTTCATCCAATGAGGCAAATTTGACGAATATGCCGCGCCTAGGACGTTCAATGCTCACGGACTTTTGACCATCATACTTTTTACCTCAACAGATTCCTGCATATCCCAGACAAAACTCTGGAGTTCAGTGGACCAGCTGCTTGTTAACTGAACAAGCAAGCACACAAGAGCCGTGTACGTGCGAGTCACAAGTGCAAAATGAATCTTCATTNTTCAAAGCCGGATTATTTCAGTCAGTGATGGTCGAAGTGAACGCATTCTATTCATCCATAAAATATGTGCAATGAACAAACGGATATAACACGTATGCACACCTGACAATGACGAGATCGATAATCGCGTTGCTTTCGGATCTTTGTATGAGCTGATAACACGCAACAATGTCAGCAGAACTGCAAACAGAATATTCTCATAATGATTTTCAGAATCCATTCATCACTAAAGCAGTTCTCTTCTATCCTTTCGTCACACAATAATTCAAATATGAAATTTCAAAATGCAACAGAAAATTTGTGACTCAATGAACCGCCATCGCAACAATGCTAAGAAAAACTATTTACAGTCAGAACCAACAAACCATTCTGACGATTTTCACTCGAATTAAGCCACTTCAATGAATTCGCCAGAGCCACAATATCATTTTGCTCATTTTCGATTATATCCTTGTTGCCCATCATCAATCATGTACTTGAAAATTTAATCGACTTCTCAGTTCACATTCGGCCATTAATCATCGAATATTCACTCAGTAAGCCAGTGATCACTGAACTTTAAAGAATCACAACAAATTTATTGTTGTTATTGTTACAGTTTGAGAATGACCACTGGTCACTGCACGATGAAACTGATCACAGCAATCAAAAATATGTCACTCTTCTTTGAAGGTATTTTAAAATTCCACTATCTGAACAAGCTGAACACGACAGATATCTGCGATCGAATTGATCAATCCGAGTGT